AAAGGCAGCTTTAATCTATATGAAGTGCTTCTCATATTGTACTTACATAATACTTGGCTAAACTCAAAACAATAATTAAACATAGTGCAAATCACTTAGAACTGTAGTTTGCTTTCCATACTGGGGCTGAAATACTTCATAAGCATTTAATTAACTCCTAAACATCTAAGGATGCTCATTTTACAGATGAATGCATTGTGGCAGAATTGGATGAAATGAGTTTTATGATGTTTCACAGTTAAGAGTAGCTCATAGCAGGCTGCAGGAGTAAAAAGTCATGCAAGCCCTATACCCGTGTCTAGCTGAAATTATTGTTCCTCTAATCTCCAAGTGGTACATGCTGAAAAAATGATTATCCACCAAACGGGAAATCTTTTCTTCTATTCCTCTGAAGCAAAATAATATGCTGACACTTCTCTTTGTCCACTGATTTTTTTGGAAAGCACTAATTAAAAAAAAAATAATAATCACAACTTCTTATGTGGATCTGGTGTCAGTTCCCTGAAATGAATGCTCAATAGAAAACTCTAATAGGTAAAAAGAAAGACATTTATTACATAGCAGCTGGCATAAATCTTGCTTCTAATGAAGATAAAATCCATGTAAATGAATCATTACAGTAAGTTGTTGTAATTAGGATTTATTCATAACAAAGGTCTCAATTATATAATCAACTTTTAATGTATCAAGATTTATAGTGTGAAGTCTTAATTCCATTTTATTATTTAGCAGCAGAATTTGCTATGGGAGGAGTGTTTTCAGGAAGCTGCCTTGCGACAAGCTCTCAACTGTAGATGGAATTTGATTCATTTGCAAATACCATCTAATTCTGCTGTTGCAGAAGGATTAAATTCTCCTCTGGCAAAAATAAAATGTTAGCTTTTTTTAAAAGTCTCCCCAAATACTGAAGCCAAAGCTTCAAGAGCTTTTAAGTGCCAGGTGTTTCTTTAAGGGCCTTCCAACTTAACAGTAGAGTTTGTGTCTGCTTGCGCCTCTTCTGAGTGCTGTGCAAAGAGCCATGGACCAGTATCATAGAAAGCTGCTGCCAACTCATGATTGTCCAGGCTATGAAAAATTGGCTTTTGTTTTTGATCTCAGCCCTTGCCAGGTGGGTAGAAGTAGTATGGAGAGTAATAGCAGAGGGTTACGGTCGTCAGCAATCCAACTGCAAGCTGAGTTTGTCTACTTCTTTGGTGGGTGGCATGTAATGGGGACAGAACTGTTCGCTAAGCCCTACTATGTTGAGCTGAGAAATTAAGGCTTTGTGCTTTCTTCTGCCTATCGAAAAGAGTAAGTTTGTCTGCTGGGCTGTTAGCCTGATAGTTTCAAAACCATTACCCAAGCCAATTTTAAAAGCAGTTTCCAGGTTTCTTCACAGCAAAGCTGGAAAGCTTCCAGTGAGATGCTGTAAACTACCAAAATAACTGTAAGGGTACACTGTGCTTTTGGGGATCTACTAGTTGAAGGCAAACTTGAGCTGGACATACCGGACCTGGCAGTTTCTGGCTTGAAATTGGAATAGATTTTCCCTCCTCTCAAGTTTTAAGAAGTCTGCATTACAATTACAAATTTTCTTGTCTCCTTTCCAAGTTAATGCTATTGAATAGTAGATTTTAAAGGCTGTTCCTCATCCTTCCTGCTGCTACTAAAATTTAATAAAAGCAGCTGTGTTGCAGTGACTTGGCTCTTTTTGGCTTCAAGAAAAGTCCTTTAGCCGCTGCAGTCAGAACAGTTAGAACATCCTTAGGCTGGTTTTAATTACAGCAGTGTCTGCAAGTATTGCTGAAGCTTGGAGGATGATTTTACACCTCATCTGTTGCAGGTGGGGTTTTGAATTGACGGCCATCCAACTTTGCTATGAGGGTTTTCAGTTTGTTTTTTTTTCCCCTGCATTATGCTGCACTGCTGAAGTAGCTTCAGTGACACAGTGCTTCTGTTTAGGTTAATGTTGAATGCATTGGATTAGTTTGTCTTGCATTCCCTAGCAAGGGTGAAAGCACACAGAGTCCTGGTGCCTTACCCTATTCTGCTGTTCTCCTGAATGTAGTAATGCTTTGTTGTAACCACCCATAAATAGTTCAGAAGAGCACATGAACTTCTGTGCTTTATTGCATAAAACTTCTCTGATGGTGTAAGCAGCTCGTGTGACAGCTTCTCAGATCTTTGCAGGTACTGCCAGAATCTAAAAGGGGTTTAACACTTGTTTATTACGCTGAATTTAGATAACTTGATGATTTTCCTTTGCTTTATAAGGGGAAAAATATTTCCCCCCAATACAAAAACATCCTTATATAAATTTAGGAGTGGCTTGGCTAGGGTTTTGTTTAGTCATTTATGAAGCAAAACCAAAGGGGTGTACTTCTGAACTCTAGAACTTTTTCAGAGATGATTCTTAGGGAATATAGATTCTTTTTTCCTTTTTCCTTTGATTTTCCTAGAATTCCAGATAAACTCAGGGCAGTCCTCTTTGCCCCTTTCTTCCTCCCTCCTCATTTAATTAGGTCTGGGAATTCAGGTACTCAAACCCCAAGAGATTTAATAAGTTTCTTTGAAACCACTAATGAATCACGATGAATCCATGCCCTGTTTTCTACTCTTGGCTAAATATAGAGGCAGGACTGGGTCATAGTGTCCTCGGCTGTCACTGGTACCACATGAAACTTCTTGGCCAAGCTGAGCTCTGTCTTTACAGCTGTAGGGATTTTTGCCTTCACTATTCCAACTGAGGGGGCTGCTCCTCAACTTTACGGCTTGAATGCTTAGGAATGGACTTCAAATTTCCAACCTGCAGGTGTGCTGGAGCCTTTTGTCCTTGTGTCAGCAGTATAGTCATAAACCTTCATAATTATTTTTCTCTTCTCGGTGTTTACCTGTCACTATACTGACAGATGATAAAACTGTCTTCTCTGCCTGGTTTTGGGAGTCTGAACACATTTGAATCTACTCTTATGTGGTAGGCTCTCAGATATAGCTGTTTGCCATACAGACCTGTTCACCTGTGCCGAAGGGAAGTGTTCAGATGGTGCAAGTGCCCACCATCCCATATCTGATCTCTCCGGTGCTTGGAAAAACTGGATAGTATGTAAGTGCATTGCAGATTTTGTTCACGATTGCACGTTGTTTTATTCCACCTTAAGTAATTGAAATTACTTCAGTGTGGCCATGCAATTAAAGCAATTTCAGCATGGCCTGGAATTAACCTGCATAGGAGCTAACTGCCTTGGCTTTTTTCTGTTCTAAGCCTTTACATTTTGTTTTTAAGTACAATCAACTATATATATGTTCTCAAATATCATCCTACTTGATGTCGATTAACGTATTCTCTGCACAGTCCATCAGGGGAATTTCATTTTGCTTTCAATATTACTTTTGACTTTAGTTGTAGAGACTCAAGATTTTAATTTCAATCACCCATTTGTCTGCTAAAAAATTTGAAAGTCTAATTTCCTGCCCACCACAGTAATAGATTGCAAGAAAGATTTGTCTGGCAAATATTGCACACACGGTGAAGTGGAAAATGTGCTGAGTTACACTTGTGGATTGAAAGATTGATTGATTGCTTTATGAAGCCCTGAAGTTAGCCACCAGTGTCTAAGAAAAATCGTGTTTACTGTTACACTATGTGTCAGCTTTCATGGGAATTGACTGGAAAAATCTTCTAAAGCTTAATCCAGATATTGCTGTAAATAAATGTCACTTCTGTCTCATGCAAGATGCTTTTCTCTGAAGACCTATCTCATGTGCAGTGTAGTGCTGGGAGGGAAACACGCCAATCTGAATGGTAGCTGAGAGCTGGAGAGCAATGTGTGTACCAGTCTGGCAGCCAATGTATAGCTTTTAGGGAGATAAGCCACTGTAAAGGATAGATGTTCTGGAGGAGAGGTTGTCAGCTGCACATGTGTATGTACGCACATATCCACTGGTCTCGCGTTCTTGTACATAACACTACCACCCATCATCCCTTTCAGGGTTTTGCTGTTTCTCAGAAATATCGGTGGTACTTCTAGTCTTTGTCTCTTCACAGGTTTTAGGACAGCTAAACTCTGCTAATAGCTGCAGTTATCTCTCATTAGGGCTTTGGGGAGAGAATGCAATTACTCCATCAAGGAGCCTCCAGTAGGACTGAGGAGCAGTGGAGAAATTCAGCTCCCTCGTCACCGGGCACAGTAGTGGCTTCTCTTCTTGCCTGTATAAATTTTGCTCGTTAACAGTGTACTAGCATTACAGCACAGAAGAGACGCAGCACTTTGTGCTCATTTATTACAGTGAAGTGCTTTGAAGAGCTTCACAAAGTGTGATGTCACCTCCTTTTCCTGGCGAGAGGCCAACTGCCAAGTTATTGCTGGTGCTGATGTAATCTGTCTCCTTGAACAAGACTTTGTTGCGTCTTCCTCTCCCATTTTTCCCCTTTTCCCACTGCTTTTTCTTGTTTAATTGGGATTTAGGACTTCATAACTCCTCAGTTCCTTGAGGAAGAGCTGGTTTGTTCTTTGTCAGAGAGAGGGTAAATTACAGACTCACCTGCATGGGTTTGTTCATGTTCCTGTGTATCGGTGTAAGTAAGGTAGTTTCTGAAGGACTGGCTATGGTCCCTGAGAGTAGATAATAGACCTCTTGGCAGCTGGTGGCTTCATGTCATTAACTGCAGTACATGTTGGCACTATGTGTCTGTGAAAGTGCTTTTTTGGTGTGTTCTTGCTCAGTATGCTAGTCCTGTCCTCTGTGGCACAGGTGTAGCCACACAACTGTAGTCCCTGATTTGTGTGCGTTGTGCATATGGGCAGATTGGTTGCCAGAAGATGGTTTTGGTTGAGAACAGCCAAAGACAGGCTGTGGATTCATGCAGAATGGCAACTATGCTGTACACTGTAGAGAAACTTTGGGCTGTGCAAGAGTTTTTCTGCTACATTTGGGCTTGGCTGCACCATGTGTGTCTTGTTGAGCAGAATCAAATGTGACATGCTAATTCTGCAACTCATTTCTCCTTTCTTTTATGCTTTTTAGGGTGTTTCAAAGATGACCGTATTGTGTTCTGGACTTGGATGTTTTCAACATATTTTATGGAGAAATGGGCCCCCCGGCAAGATGACATGCTCTTCTATGTCCGTCGAAAACTGTCCTATGTCACTGGGGATAGTACAGAGGGGAAAAAGGTGAGTAATGACATATTCTAACCTGGGAAATTTAAGTTAACATGGGATTTGGTGTTCTGGAGTACCTGACACATCTGAAGAACTACAAACCAAGGATAAGGAATCTCCAGCTCTGCCCAAAACAAGAAGTTATGCAAAACTGGCTCATAGAGAAGTACTGTGGTTAATGCTGTGAAGTATATGCAGTGTGTGCATATACTTCATAGTGGTGTATGCATATGCTTCATAGTCCATATATTGCACTGTGAAGTATGTGTGAAAACATACACTGCACTGTGAAGTATCAGCAGTATAAATGAGCTTCATTGTCACAGGCTTGAGGAGATCAGAGAGTTTGCATGCTTTTCTAGGAAGCTTTTTTATTGGTCAGCCTGCATGTATGGGGAAAGGGAGGGCATCCATGCTGATTTTTGGTTTGCTCTTCAATTATGATATTTTACAAATTGAAAGTCCCTTCCTGTGAGATGAGAGTATCAGGAATGAACACCTACTGGGTACTCAATAGCAGAATGTTTGCAGCCTCCTGGATGTGGGATACGGTAGTAACAAACAGTAAAGAAACAAATATATTCTCATAATCTGTATTTAAGACAATATGCACTCCTATGGAAGTATTGTTTCTTGAAAACACATGATCAGGTAGCCTAGTGCTGCTGCAGTTATTTTCCCATTAGAGATCTGAGAAACTTTTTAGCATTTCATCGCAGGTTTCTTAGGTGGGGAAAACAGAAGTGAGAAATGATGGTTTTATTGGGAATTAAGGAGATGGCTGCAGAGGATCAAAAGCAAGAAAGATAAATGGAGTTAAAAAACTGTGATTAACTTCTTGACACATGTAAATAATTTACACTGTTGTAGAATCAGATATTTGCCCATGGTATATGTGAGAGCGTTTTTAACCAGGTACACCAGTGTTCTCTGGGCTTAAATGTGGTGACATTGTTGTCAGCTCCCTTGAGGAGATGATCCCAGAAGACTTTCTCATGTTTTTGTTCGAGATACATAAATGTGCAGAATTATCTTCTCTTTCCTCCACACCCCTTCAAGTTCCATCATGATAGCCGCTAAGGAGAAGATGGCACAATACTGTTCTTTCTCTGTTAGATCAGTGGTTTAGTAGTCTTCGGCCAGCATACTTGGAGCTTTAAGATTTTTGGAGGGATTTTTCATCCTAACTGTAGTTTAAATAACTATAAGTGCATTCCTGTTTCACATCAAACAATATTGTGGCTTTGTTGAGCCTAATAAAAGCATGGGTTGTTTAACCTCTTGTCCTTCCCAACAAGGAAGGTGAACCTCAGAGGAAGCCTGGTCACTTAAATTGATTCACAGAACCAGATCAATCTCTGTTTACCTTATTAGTCAGTTTAAAGTGTTTGAACCTCTCAAGGAGAGGAGACAGTGAAATAAACCCTTGTGTTTGTTCTCAGAGCTTTATTTAAACCTTCTAAAAGCATCATAAATAATTTTAATTTGTGAGGTGGCTTTGTGAGCAGTAGTTATACAAAATCAGCATTAGGGAATTGCTTGCCCTACCAACTAAGATGGGGGGGTGTGCCTTGTAGCACACACAGTATTTTATAACTCCCTCCTGGCTGTGCAGTGTTGCTCAGCCTCTGAGAAATGGACCTTTCCTGTAGCTTTGAAGTACTTCAGCTGCTTTGTGAAACTTCATAGGTTGGTGATTCTTTGGTATCTGTGCATCCTGGTTGAGCTGAGTGAGTTTTTTAGCTCACTGCTTTGCAGTTCCAACTCCTCTTGTATCTAATTTTTGAACCTATAGCTAATCTTTGTCTTGTGCAGCGAGACACCAAACAACTACTCCTACTTTTTGAATTACAACTGGACAGGTTTTTATTTTACTTTATAGTTTTGGACATTCTTTCTTGAACGTTGGCTCCTGCCTTGTGCCCGGGCTGTGCCAGTCTGGTGATGATTTCTCCACGGACCATGCAGAAGTTGAGTATTAGGTAACCATGGAAGTAGATCTCTTTGTAGCTTGGATATATGCAAAGCAAGTTCATTGTAGTTCTTCCATAGATATTATATATGTGCTTTGCATTTGCCTGGCAATTGTCAGTTGACTGAAGTCTGGCAGAGATGCATGAGGTGAATTGTTGTCCTATAACGTCTCAGAGCATTAGTTTATATACATGAAAATAAGATCTGTATAGTTTTGAGCACAGTGATCTGCAGGACTGGTCACAACAACAAAACCAGACTGAGTGGGGAGGGCCTGTTTATCTGAATGCTGACAATGGTGATGTTTGTTTTCTGAGATGAAGAGCTCATGCGGCATGTTTGCATCATTTACATGCCATGGTGTAATGATTCATGTCAGCGAGAGGCAAATGCCAATTTATCAAACACTTTTCAGGTTTTGATGGGTGTCCTGTGTGATTAAAAGTCGTGCCTGCTTGTGTTTTTTCTGCGCTTACTAAGCTGAAGTGTGTCAGCAATAACATTTGATTTTAAGTTGAAGTGTAACAGAGGAAAGGCAGCAAAAATCTGATGGGCTCAAGATTAGAGGTTATGTTCAATTTTAAGGCTGAATGACAAGGACTTTGGATGCAGCTTAGTCACAACTGCCTAATGTAATAAATCTCACAATTTGGTGTATCAGTAGGTGATGATGGTAACCTTCTCTGTGATCATAAATTTTATTTTAAAGGGCCTTTTAAGTGATCTGCTTCATGCACCCACCGGTCTTTCCATTTGCTTCTCTTTTCCACCCCACCAATTTCTAAAAGGCGAATGTATGGGTGAAACAGCAATTAAGCTTTTAATACGGTCTGTGCCAGGGCAGAACTGCTATCTTGGATTCTGGCCTGTATCCATTACACAGACTCTTGAATCCCAGAGGAGTGCATTCAACTCTCCGTTTCTTTGGCATGTCACAATAACACTCTTGCAGGGTTTGGGTTTTTTTTTTTTAATTTGCCAAATTTTGGTGATACTTTTTCTCTCAGTGTCTTTAAGCAAAATCACAGGCCCCATGTGTCACGTTCTATGCAGGGCGCTGTGGAGTGTAGCACTTCTTAAGGGATCTAGTAGGCTTTTTCAAGGTGGAATTGCTTGGACTTGTTGCTCTGTATGCACTGTTAAGTCAAGACTCAAAAAAACCTCTTTGCTGTTGCCTCAGACACCAGCTGGTGAGACCTACTGGAAAATGTAAGCCCTGATCCTCACTTACAAAGGATCCTGTACATTGCCATAACCTACAGCTTTAAAAGGTTAAAGTGGTTGGACTTGGGATTCTGCTTTTAAAATGGTGTTAGATCAAGATCTAATGTCTCTGTCTCTTTCCAGTGCAAAAGGTGTTCATAAGGGATTATGCTTTGTTAGAGCTGCAAGCTTTGGATCTTTCTGTAGAGAAGCTTTACTTTCTTATGGGACTATGGAAGATGCTAGTATGGTGTTAACAGAGACAACTGCCAAGTAGGGAAACTAAGGTAAAACCTTAGTGACAGGCCAGCAGAGCGAGGTTGTATTAACCCCTTCAGCCTTGCATCATGCTTTGTCACCTGAAAAGGGTGCTGTGTTTATAGGGCAAAGCAATAAAAAAAGGTAAATTTAAGACACAGTTGGTATATATTCTGAGCTTGCCTGGGTTTTGGAGCAGGTCCTGTTTTCTTCAGCATGGAGGAGTAGTGTTGCTGCCAAATGCATGGGGTAGTCATTCAGGCTGTTAAGTCTTCAGAAAGCTTAAGCTACTGATGTTGTGGCTGCAGCTTCAGAAACAGAACTGAACACGAGCCATCATTTACATGTTTTATGTGCATCTGGACCTGTGACACAACAAATATTGGCTGTGATGGGAGACCAGTTAGTTTCCAAAGCTAAATGACTTCAGGCACGTGACTCCCACTGAAAATCACAGGATTTTCATAGCTGAATCTAATTCAATGTCACCATCTGTCTGGCTGGAAGATTTGAAAACCTGAGCTCAGCATCCAGCAGAAATGGAAGTTTATAAAATCTTACATTGCTGTTTCTGTTGTACCTTTCAGAGCAGTGCTAATTTTTGTTTGTTTGTTTAACCATTGTAAACAAACAGGATGTCTCCAGAACTGTTTGGTACACTTCATAGCAGTTCCACATTGCCATCTGAACGCAATGGAGAAATACATGGCCAAAAAATGAATCGTTTTGCCAAATGAATTCTCTCTTTGTACATACAGAGTATGTGGGAACAAACAGTGATTGCAACATGTGCAAGTCAGTACAGAAAGACAGCTGTTCTGCCTCAACTCTTCTGTTGTGCTAAGTTCGTGGAGGTGTTGTAGTGAGTAGGAACAGTGGCTTCTGCAGGAGAGGGACAGCACAGAATCATAGAATCAACTGGGCTGGAAAAGATGTTTAAGATCATCAAGTCCAACTATCACCCCAGCACTGCCAAGACCACCACTAAACCATGTCACTGAGGACCTCTTCTACGTGGTTTTTGAACACTTACAGGAACAGTGATTCCACCACTGCCCTGGGCAGCCTGTTCCAATGCCTGAACACCCTTTAGGTGAAGAAATATTTCCTAATATACAATCTAAACCTTCCCTGGCACAACTTGAGGCCGTTACCTCTTGTCCTGTCCCTAGTTACTCGAGAGAAGAGACCGACCCCCACTTGGCTCCAATTCTCCTTTCAGGTAGTTGTAGAGAGCAATAAGGTATCCCCTCTTGAGCCTTCTCTTATCCATCAATGTTGTTCTCATTTGAAGCATGAAAAAGGAACACTGGCATTATCAGATTGATGTTACAATTTTCTGTAAGGAGCTCAACATCTTAAATGCAGATTTGGCTTTCCTTTTACAATTACCCTCAGAAATACCTTTGCTTTCTCATGCAATTTTGCTTATGTTTGGTTATTTAGGTACAGGAACATAAACGAAGCGCTACTTGACAGCCTCTGCTCACAGTTCATTTTTTGCAAGACCATCTCCATTTCTTATGTGTGCCCTGTCAGACTGCCTGGCAAAAGTGAAGAGAAAAATACTGCTGCAG